CAATTGGAAAGTCAAGATTATTTTGACAATCAATTGGAAAGTCAAGATTATTTTGACAATCAATTGGAAAGTCAAGATTATTTTGACAGCCAATATAATGGTATAATGTTTTTTTCCTTACCTTATTTCTCATTTCCCATTTGTGCACCCCTTTTATTATTAGATTACTTAACTTTATATTAATTTACACAGAAATCATTAAGGATACTCCTGAATCATTATGGAATTGCCCATCTAAAAGTCTTTCCAAGAGGAAGTTGAAAAAAGCAAAGAATAATGTATCAACTGACCAACATATTCCATTGCCTAATACTGTAAACTACTCTGTTTGTCAAATATGTGATACTCTTGGACATTTAGCTACAGTTTGCCCGCATCGATATGTTGTAACTTGTCAACTGTGTAATCGTGAGGGTCATATTGTAAAAATTTACTCGAATCGTTATCGATCACCATCTTTGTCAAATCCACCCAAAACCCCTGCTGAGTCCTCTGAAACTATTACAAAGATTTTTAGTAATGGTAGGTGTCTTACATTTGAAAAAAAGTATTGGGATACTGTTGTTCAAAAATTATGATCCATCCAAAAACCATAATATAATTATCTTACTTATGTTCTTTAATTTTTTTTTCAATTTTTTTTTCCAATTTCTCTTGTTTTCTTGTGATTATCTTATATATTTTGACATTACAACATTTATTAATAATTTCTAAGTATTTCTCACTTTAATTATTAAGAATTTGCATGAAATTCTTTTATTTTGTGAACCACATAGTTCAAGAGTCCAATCTAACATAGTAAAGTCGACTGTAAAGGACTAAGAATCGACTCTCAACATAGAGAGTCAACTATTTGAAGGGAAAAAAGTATGGCACTTATTGGGATTTGGTATTTGACTCTCCACATCGTAAAGTCGATTCTTTTGATTTAGAGTCGACTCTATGATGGAGAGTCGACTATAGGCTGCAGCAAATTAAATTCCAGCATACTGGAATTTGGTAGTCAACTCTTCATATGATAGAGTCGACTTTGAATCCAAAAGAGTCGACTCTATGATAAAGAGTCGACTATATGTTGCAGCAAATTAACCTTCAGCATATTGGAATTTGGTAGTCAACTCTTCATATTATAGAGTCGACTCTATAATGGAGAGTCGACTATAGGCTGCAGCAAAATGCATTTGCTGCTTACTGGAAAATGGGAGTCGACTCTTGCTGCTTTATAGTCGACTCTCATATGCCTGAAGAGTCGAATATAGGCCTATATTCAACTCTTCAGTCCATTTTTGCTATTTAATTTCCCAGAATTTGTTGTTTGTGTTTCTTATTTTTTCATGAACATCAACTATGTAAAAAATACTATTGAATCATTAAAACCACATGCACATCAAACTTTAAAACCACATCCACAAATTGCCATTCAAGCACACTATGGACTACCAACTTGCTTGCCATCAATGGAAGCACATCAAGAACATAATCAACCAATACAAATCATCACAATTATGCTATGCTCATTGATGTTAAAAACTGCATTAAATTAAACTACATCTAATGTCAATATTATATGTACATATTCAAAAATATAAAAAATCAAAACATTAAGAAAACCTTCAAAAGAATGTTCAAACATTAAAATGATAATTTAATAGCCATCAACAACTGCAACGGGAGGATTTATGCTTCCAGATTTGAAAAGGGATCAGTGGGTTGCTATCCGAAGGATGTGCCAGCAGTAGATGAGTCTCCTCTTGTCGCTCGAGGACCTATAGGTGCTGCCATCTGATAGTCGTGAATGTGATCATCGAGCTTTGATTCAATCCGTGCAAGTCTCTCAAGAATGAGCTGCATTCCTCTCTGTGTGGTTAATCTCTGAGGAACTCGAGATGAAGTAGCTTGTGAGGGACCTGCGTCTTCAGTTTCTTCAGCATGTTCTTCATCATCAAACCCCTCACCTTCATCATCTTGTCCTCTTCTTCTCCTTTTTTGCTTCATTTCCCAAGAATTTGTTCTTGCACTGAATACATACCCCATTTTGTTCAATGAACTCTTATTCAAAAGTTCGTGACTGTGTAGGTCTCGGGACTCCATATCACACAAATCAACACCCGCATTTTCCATAAGTAATGTGATGAGAGTGCCATACACTAGTGCGAGTGTCGATCTACCCCTATAATACACCATTTGTTTCATAATATGGTGTCCTAGATTGATCCGCCTTTGATCAAGAATATATGCAAGCCACACACAATCCGGACCACTAAATGTCCCAAAAGAACCTTGCCTTGGCAAAATTATGTGATTATAAATTCAAAACATTAACCGATTCTCCATATTCAAGTGGTGAATGGTTAATGTTTGTCCCTCATTATACTCATCCCCCATGATAAATTTCTTTCTCGATTCCTCTGTAAATGCATTCAATTCGATGGCTCCCTCATTTGGCAAATGTAAAACATCATTCATGGTTTTAACATCAAATTCAAAAGTTTTCTTAAGAACTGTTGTTATATACCCTCCATCCTTCAAATCACTCAAATTTGCATAAAAAATCTTTATCAACTACGAGTAAACCTTCACCTTTCTACTTACTAATTCAGTCCACCCCATTGCATCTAACATTTCTCTAATATGCAGCCCCCCTTTGCATATATCATGTAAAACTACTCTAAAACCATAAACAACTTTCCTATTTCCTAATTTATTAAAGGCTTCTATAGCATTTCTAGATACAAAGTTTCGAGGGTGATTGGGTTGAAATATCTGCTCCGTGTATGTGCTTTCACCACTGTCCTCAGGACTTTGCTCAACCCTTCGACGCCTTCCAGACGTGCTTGCTGCCTGCCCCCTTTCTTTCTTTACAACTCTTTTAGTCCTCACCATTTTAGGAGATAATGCATGAATCTTAGAGGAATTGATCGAAAATGGTGTGGGTTTGTGTTTGGATGAGTTATTTTGGTGAAATTTGGGAGGATTTTGGCTAGGTTGAGTGTTAGGTTTCTCAGAGAGTCGAATAGGAGAGAGAGGGAAAATGGGGAAATCTGGAACTGGAGCGGTTTTAATCAAATCCCGTGCCAAAGAGTCGACTCTATAACTTGAGAGTCGACTCTTCCAAGCAAAACAGTCGACTCTAGAAAATAATAGTCGACTTTGAATGGAGAAGAG